AAGGTTCAGAGACCCACAAGTGCAAGCTAAAAGCCCACGCGGCCGCGCTACATATCAGTGCGGTCCGCGTGGATGAGAATTAGAGAGCTGGTGATTTGGCTAAGTCAAGCCACGCGGCCGCGCTACATTTCTGCGCGGTCCGCGGTCCCCAACTTTAGAGACAAGATTTAGGAGTCCAAAGAGCTGACGCGACCGCGCTACCTTTTTGCGCGGTCCGCGCTGACCCCGCAGGGGTATTTTTGTCCAAGTTTTTCAGCCACTATAAATAGATCCTTTTTCCATTTTTAGGTAAAGTTTTATATACGGAAGGCTGCTGAGCTCGTGAGAACATTGGGTTTAGCCACTTTTGGCATTTTTAACTTCTAATTTTGTATTTCTTCCTTATTAATCAATTATTATGTTTGCTTCTTCATCTATTTCTTTAATTTTTGCATCTAGCATGAGTAGCTAAACTCACTAGCTAGGGTTGTGGCTCAACCCTAGTGTGGGTAATTAATGCGTGCTGCAATCTAAGGCTAGATTGATATTGGGTGTTTGCTATTTGGGTTAATTTTAAGTTTTCATTAAGGATTGGTGGTTGCAAACACTGATTCTAGCTTGGTGGGTTTGACTCTTCTTGAGAGAGAGAGTCTATAAACTCCAAAATTGACCCAACAAGGAATTGAGATGAACCCATGAGAAATGGTAGTCCCAATTAACGGGTTAAACCTCGAGAGAGTAATTACCCTACTTGAACCCTAGTTGCTTGGTCAACTTGGCCTACCCAATTGGTCTCGAGAGAGTCAATTGGACAAAATCACTCTCTCTACCTAGAGGTGTGAGAGTGGGTACAATTGAGCAAAGGTTATAGCATAAGCCCCAAATATGTCAATTTACCCTTAGTAGCATCTACCCGTTGATTAGCCACCTAGGTAATGCTACGACCCTAGTGCCTTTCTCTATATTAATTATAACATAGTAATATCTCCATAGCATAATTTAGCTTTAAATATTAGTCTTAAAGTAGAAGATATAAAAATCAAAAATCGAAAATGTTAGAAGTGATGTTAGAAGCACAACCACAATTCTAGACTAAGCAGATAATACAACTCCCTCTCTAGCTCCCTGTGGAAAATCGATCCCGATCCACTATCGGGTAAAAGTTGTTGCGACCCACTCTTCCTACCTTAGTGTAGTGTTGAGTCGGTAGCGATCAGTGGCTAGGTTAATATTTTGGTGACCAACCTGACGTGTCTGTGGATGGTTAATTAACGTGTGTGAGGTATTGTTTGATTGAAGGTTAGCTTGGGTGGGCCTATTAATAGAGGACGTGTGTGCATTATTAATTATGTCAAACTTAGCTTGATTATGTGGCCCATTAGGCCCATCCGATTGACGCTCAAAATTACAAAGAGTTGAGGTGGGCTCGTGGATACTGGCAGGTGGAAAGATAGTAGTTTTATTTTGGACAGAGCTAGTATCCATGTCCTCTGAAATAGGGTGAAATTGGTTAGGAAGTTGAATGGGCTTGATTGTCAAGTCAGAAGAGTGACCTTTAGTTTGGGCCTTATTTCGCCCAGTAGGGATAGACAACTTACCTGCTTCCTCTGGCATTTCATTAGATTCCGCCGCCCTTGAGTACCTCATGGTTGAGGTTGCATATTTTTGTAGTCGATTGTTATTCCTTTTTGGAAAAGTAATGGTTTGCCACTCTGTTGATTGAAGGTTGGTTGTAGGGTGGGATGTATAGTGAGTTGTAGCAGATGTTGAAGAAGAATGAGGACTAGAGGACTTAGTAATCAGGGATGGGGGGAGTGGTTGTTTTTGAAAGGAGCAGTGTATTAAGGCATGGCCAAATCTGCCACATGCAGTACAAAGAAGATTAAGGCCTTTATATTGGATTGTTTGTTTGTGGTTACCAATATGAAGATGTGTTTTGAGAGGTTTTTCAAGGGGTACCTCAATACAAATTCTTGCATACCTGCCCCTAGAAGTAGTTGTCGTGCATGTATCGACCTTTAACAGCTTACCCAATTTTGCTCCCATTCGATGAAGGATTTCCATATCGTAAAACTCAGTAGGGAGCTTAGGGAGTCGTACCCATATAGCAGAGTACGTTAATTAGCTGAGTGTTGGATGCAATAAACATAGGTTCCCATTGCCTCACAGATAGAAAATGATTAAGAACAAACTAAGGACCTCCATGAAGGGCTGTGTGCGGGTTCTCTTCTTTCTGAAACTTGATAAGGAAAAATTCAGATCCAAGGTCAATTAGAGACATATTTTCAGTAGGTTTCCATAGTGCAGTCAGTTTTTGCTTCAGCAGTAGATGGCCAATTTTTTGCCCAAACACTCTAACAATCACTGATGATTTCTAAGGTGTATATAGGCGTGATTTATCATCAGTAGATAAAGGAATAAATAAATCTTCATCAACCTCTGTAGTGTTTGTTTCAGCAGAGAAATCGACATATTGTTGTTGAGGACGTTGACTATCAGTAATGGAAATTGAAGAGTTATTTGATATTAGTGTTTGTAAAAAGGTTTTCTGTTGGCCTAGGGAAGGTGGAGGGTCATCAATTTGCATTTTTCCTATATCAGGGGGTTCTTGGGAAGGTTGTAAAGGAGAGTTAATAGAACTATATTCCATTAGTAGGTTTTTAGAGAACGTAAATGAAGGTAAGGGAGTGTTGTAGGAAGGTTTTGTAGAAAGAGAAGGTCTCGCATCTCTCTAGCTTTTTTGAGTGAATCTCAAACCTAAAGCTTCTCATCAGTCACACATACGACCAAACACAGAGATGAACAATTTTTCAAAATTAGGGCACAAATATGAACATGCTATCAAATGATGTGAGGAATTGATGTGATGTTACCGGAATTCCTTGATTGAGCTCAAGAGAAGTAAAATCTGATCTTTCACAGATGAAATTTGCAGAAAACCCCAAACCTTGTCTGAACCATCAAAATGTCGAAGAGAAGTCGTGACCAGCGGAATCGAAGAAACTACACCAAAGAGATCACGATGAACGTTGCGGATATCTCGGATCGATGCTCTGATACCATGTTAAGCTACGAAATAAATGGTGATTTGAGAATGGATCAAGTCTAAACCCTAATCGTCTAAGTCGGTGAGAGAAGAGAGATGATAGACGACAGTATAAATAAGAGTTTTGATCCATTAATTAAAGATAGAGTCAAACTAACTCTATTTATATGTACATGTAAATGTGGCTAAAATCGAAATGGTAAAACCAATCCGGACAAGGGCCGGTTCCCTGAATGTGTAAAAATAAAACTGGCCCAATAATGAGAAGCCCACTATTGTTGAAATCAACCAAGATATTGATTGTGAACTAAGGCTTTATCATCGTCATCTACAATTCTCTTAACCAATTTTCAAAAATATTTGTATGCAAATCCAAAAGTTAAATTTTTGTTCAGATTGAAGGATTTGGAGGAAAACAGAAGTCTAAAAACAAAAGTCTGAAATGCAGTATAATTTATTTAGTTCTCTTCCACCCATCTAACATTTCCATTTTTAGACAAAAGTGGCTCTGTTTACGTAAAAATTTTACATTGTCAAAGTAATCTAATCGGTAATAAAAATAATTATTTTTATCAAATTACTAATTAATACTAAATATAAAGTTTTAAACTATAATTGTTTTAGCGAGATCTGATTGTGTAAAACAATTTACATACATAAAAGTTAAACACGATAAGATTGGAGTATAGGAATGGTTGACTGGTCAATAATAAACACAAGTGTAAACAATTAAACAACCCTTACTTGCCTCCATACATTTTTTACTTTTCCCTTTTATTCTTGTTTTTTCATTTCTACTTTAAATATTAATCCTCTTTCTCTTAATTTTAACTTTTTCAGGATTTTCCTCTTTTTCTTCTCTTATACTATGGTTTATTCGTTAGGGTCAAAGTCAAAGAAATGCTACTACAACTGAAAATTATTGTTCTCCAATTTTCAAGCTTTAGCACGAGAGGGTGACAAAGATCATACTTTGACATGACTGTTTTACAATTTTTTAATTGCTCTTCCACGTTTAAACTTTTGTTAATACCAAATACTAATTGTGCTAGGCTTTTAATAAAAACCAAATCATTTTATAAGCTAACGACATATCTGATTATGATTAAGTAAGCAGTTGTGTTTATCAAATTAAATATTTTTTCTTAAATGGTTTAAAAGAATTTTTTTAGCTAATGTCTTTTCAGTTTCATTAATAAAGTATTTGTACAAGTATCGTGATAGTAATTTTAATTAACCGAAAACAGTGTAACAAAAATTAGAAAGGCATGGAGGTTGAGAATTAGAATAGAAGGGTAGTGGTTAAGCGGGGGTGTCTTATCTTCATGTGTGTTAGTGTTGCTCTCGTACTTTCATTTCTTCGTATCCGTATATTTCCTTTACTATATGTCGTTTCTTTCGCTACGGCTATTATACCACCTTTGCTTGTTAGGGTTAGTAGTTGTTATTTCTACTTCCTTTTTAGTTTTTTCTTCTTCATCCGGGGTTAATCGGAAACAATATCTTTATCTTTCTAAGGTAGGGATAAGGTCTGCATACATTATATCTTCCCCAAATCCCATTTTGTGGGATTTCAACGGGTTTATTATTGTTGTTGTTGCTGTTGTTGTGTAACAAAAATTAGAAATTAAATCATGTGAGTAACCAAAATCAAGCAGTGTCTAATATTTTCTTGAAATAAAAAAGAGAATTTATTTTTGACTGAACAAACAACTATTTAAATGACACCTTCATGTGGTACTAGTACAACAACTTGCATGCATAGAGATCAAGCTAGATAAAATTATCCCTTCGAATTCCTAAACATCGCAATATTATTATGTCATGTTAGAAATTTGAAACCACATAACCTAGAATCACGTGATGCCATTAAGACAAAACACCCCGACCAAGTAATTAATTAATCCCAAAAATTGTGTGTGTGTGTGTGAGAAAAAGGAGGGGGGTGGTGATCATGAGCAGTGAGCCAAGAATATAAAAAAATTCCTAGTTGAAGTGGTCAAATTAAGGAAATTAAAATATGAGAGAAATAAAAGAAATTGTGGTAGCTACTAAATTAAATTCTAACACAAAGGAGACCTATGAGGAATGCCTTTTCTTCTACTCATACTAGTAGCCATATCCTCATCACTACTTATATTCTTATAATTACTATTAACTAGTGTTCTTCCACATACATATAATCCACTTCTCTTCTTCCTCACAAACTCAGTGCATGGGAAAGTAGTAGCACTCATCATCATCATCATGTTCTCCGATCCCGACGAACCGGACGTCGACGAGCCCCACGGCTCGTCGCTGTCCACGATCGTCGAATGGGCCGTGTCGTCGTCGGCCATCTCTTGAGGGATAAAGAAATCTGGACTAAGTTGTAAAGTTGTGCATCTCCTTAGGAATGGAGAAATGTCCTTGTAGTGTTTTAGCACAAAATCCACCTGATCATCAATAAAATTCAAGATTATTTGCCCTTAACTAGAGAATTATTGTCACTTGACCAAAATTATGTTATTTCATTGATTAAACTTACATGGTCTTATATATGTCACTTCTTCCTTATAGATTTTGGCTGTTTTTTTTTCCCAAAAAAAAAAATTATTTGTTCCTAGAATATGACCAGTTTTTGAAAAAAAATTGATTTTTTAAAGTTTCCAAAAACTGTTTTAGGGCAGTTTTTGAATGAAATTTTTTTTCTTCCCCTCACAAAACTTCAAATTTTTTTCAAATAAAATGCATGTCCAAATACAATTTCAACTTTCAAAAATTGTTTTTCAATACAATTCCAAAAATTCTTTTTTTTCAAATATCAACCAAATCTATGTCAAAAAGCTAGATTGATATTTTAGAAATAGCAATAAGTGTAATTGAGAACATGATCTCAGCAACTTTTTCAAGCATCAATAGAGCATTTTTGAAACATATTTTATATGAATTGAATTATGTAACTTAGGTGAAAAAGATAAGAATTATGGTTGAAAACCAAAACAATATTCTCCATATAATAAATGTAATAAATTCAAAGATAATTACCTTGCACCCTAGAGAGCAATGGACAAAGGGTTCTTGAAGGCTTCTATCACAAGAAGTACAATAATTTCCAGATCCTTTGAATTGCCTATTTTGAGGTCTTTTCTTGATAAAAATCACTTTCGCACTGTTTATTGTGTACGCCTAGTTTGAATTATGAAACAAATCATCAGAAAAATTCAACCACAAAAGAAAACTGTTGAGCAAAACTATCTTAGAATGATTAATGATTATCAAATTTCTTGTTGAAGGGTAGCCTTGGAGCAACGGTAAAATTGTCTCCATGTGACATATAGGTCATGAGTTCGAGCCGTAGGTTCAGCCACTGATACTTGCATTAGTATAGGCTGTCTATATCATACACCCTTAGGATGTGGCCCTTCCCGGGATCCTGCGTGAACGTGGGATGCTTTGTGCTCAGGCTGCCGTTTTACTTGTTGAATAATTAATTAATTAAGTACCTGGACATTTGAGCAATCTATGAGCTTCTCCAAGTCTTCAAGTCGAACAACATCATGATAAACATAACGTCGAATTTGAACTAATCTGTGGAAACGATGAGCCATCACACAATGAGGGCAAATACTTATGCAGCAATCCAAGCAACAAATATTCTTCTCGTTCTTCTTTGCACTCTCGTGAATTTGGCATGGGGCAAAGAATTTCTCTGTGCAGATTGCTTCCAACCATGCTGGCTTCTCAATTCCCTAAAATCAACATACCATAAGACAATTGAGGAATTAACATACAATATTCTCGCGCATTCGATATTTTTGAACATATTTAAGTTCTATGTATTGACGATTTTTAGAAATATTTTTTTCAATTATGATATAATTACACGTAAATCTTTATGATAAACATAAATCAATTACGTGAATTAATCTGTTACGATATGTTAGACTATACTAATAGTGTAAAAAAAATTATACTGTCAGTTTATATAATTTAAGTCGTCTAGGAAGAAATTCAATCAAATGAAGAATGATGTGAAAGTACTACGACGAAAAAAGGGGAAGATGGTCACCAAGGGCGAAGCTAGAGCTTCCATAACGGGTTCGGCCAAATTAAGTAGTTTTTGTCCAAACCCTATATTTGTCTTAATAAATCCATTGAATAACTACAAATTCTTACTTTAGCACCCAGTAACATAAAAGAGCTAGAATCCTTAACCCAATAACATAAAAGAGCTAGAATCCTAAATCCAGTAACTTTAAGTTCTAGCTTCGCCTCTGATGATCACTCCTTATCCCGATCTTACTAAAGGAGGAAGTAAACAACTCAAATTTTTACGTACTTCCGTTATAGAGGGTCCGGGCGGGGGACGGCGGGGAGAGAGAAAGAGGGCAAATAAAAGTGGAATTGAAGAATGAAATAGAAACAAAGATAGCTTACCATAATCACATAAAACACTAATACACCTTGAGTCACAAAGTACTAAAGAAGAAGCTAAGCAATGAGAAAATGGATTGATTGGAAGAAAGAGAGGGACTATAGGGTATGGATGTTAGTGTATTTATTGAGAATCACAAGAGAGGAAAGGATATATTTATTCCTCGGGTACATACACAAAACATTTTGTCAAGAGGCTCAGTTGCAATTCATAAATATATATAAACTTAAATAGAGAGAAAAAGAGAATAAAATATAGAGAAAAAGGGTAATATATGAGGAGAACGTGGGCACTGTTCCCGTGTCTCCCATTGCATTTCTTCCCAAATAAACTAATTTTCTCTATCTCCTTGTGTTGAGAGCTTAAACCCTAAACAAAAGGAGTTCTTGAAAAAGCTGCCCCACTAATTTTATTTGGATTTGTATTATGTACATTTGGTGTAAAGATTTTTACGTTAGAAGTGTGGTTTAACCTTTAATAGCAGGTTAATTAAATATAATTTTCCTAAAATAGCAGCTATAAATTTTACATGGGTAATAAGTGACCTGATTATATATATATTTTTTTACCTTTCATGCATAAAACTTAAAATCTATTTTATTTTCATTTGTTTATCAATTTTTACTTTGCTTTTTGATGCTCATATCTCGGTAAATTAGGTTGGAGCTAGCTAGCTTCTTGTCTTTAACTAGGCGAGTCAAGAAACATATATTTGTCCAATTTACTGGAATTTTTTTAAGAGCCTGTTTGGAAAGCCACCTAGGAATAGGATTTGGGTGTAATTAGGTGTAATTATACAGTTTGACATGTTTGTTTGGCCAAGTAATTACTTGGTCAGCATGTAATTGAGTGTAATTGGAGGGGTGTAATTACACTCTCTAATTCTCAAGGGGGAGGTGAGAATTGGTGGTAATTACACTGTGTAATTACAAGGTTGTTTCTTAGTTTCTTTCCTTTTTATTTTATTTTAATTTATTTTCTTTATAACTTTTTATTTCTATTATTTTAATTTTTGAATTTTATTTTTACTTTTTAATTTTTTGAAATTTTAAAATATATTTTTCTTTGTACATTATTTATCGTTTATTTCTCTACCTTTACTTCTTGTGATTTCATGTAATTGCTTATATTTTATTTTTTATTTATTTTATTATTCTATTTTTTGAAAACTACACCTCCTAATATTAGAAATAATGAGTCATTATCAAACTTGGCATATAAAGAGTGATGCAATTAAAGTAAAATTTCGTTGTTAAATGTGGTTATAAACTTATTATGTTTTCTAATCTTAAGTCATAGTGGAACTTACTATTATTATGTTGGAATTTGACATATGTTAAACTATTTTTTTGTGTGTTTTAAAATTGTGCTATATTCATGGTTCCAATTTACTTGTTTTAGTAGTATTGGCTCACATTTCATGTTGTTCATTTTTTTGTTAGAATTGATATTTTCGTTTTGACAAACATTTGAATAATGTTATGACATTATATTTATATATATTAGTTTATTTTATCAAACATGAATTCCATGATGTTCTTACAAAACATATGTTTTTAGTTTTGTAAGTATCTAAACTAAATATTATTAATTTAGAAAATATATATAAATTAATTTTACATTTATTAATTATAAATATGTGATTACAAATTAATGTATATTCACAAAAAAAATATACATCTTAAATACCAAATATAATATCATTTATACTTATAAAAATTTATAGGCATATATTTATTATATTAACTTTTATGTTTTGATAATTACTTCATTTAAAATTTAATCTAACCGTGTAATTACACTTGTGCAACCAAACAGTAAACTTGTAAATTATGACAAACAAACAGGTCGTCGTAATTAGACAACTTTATAATTACTAGGCTGTGTAATTATAACCCTAGTAATTACACCAATTCCAATTACCTTGTGACTTTCCAAACAGATCCTAAGTCTTCCAGTCCTTTTATTTAGTGTTTTTTTTTTACTTCATTGTTTGTATAATCCCAATTCACAGCTGTTGGTTCAAACAAAAATTTGACAAACAGAAGGGCAAGAACTTTAGCCGTCCACTGGCTGACAGTTGCATGACTATTTAGCGCATACTGGTGCAATTGTGGTGCAATCATAACCATCCAAGACATCTGATTTTGGCATTAGAAATAAGTTAACCTCCCAATAATTGTTAGACTAAAACGGCTCAAAGGCTCTCAATATAGTATAATATTGTTCACTTTAGATTAATCCCGCCCGGTTTTTCCAAAAAGCCTCACGCTATTAAAAGTATCTAACAGAGGCGGATCTAGAATTTAAATCCTATGGATTCAAGTCTTAAGATTTTTAGCATTGAACTCATTATATTTTTAAAGTTATGGGTTCATATCTACTTTTTCTTTTTTGCAATTTTAATGAATTTTCACATATAAACTTTTACTCTGCGTCGAAAGTTATGGGTTCAATTGAACCCGCCGACGGAACATTGCGTCCGCCCCTGGTATCTAATTAACTCCTTATAAGTAGCTTCTTTTACTTTTCTACTTTTCATGTGGGTTTTATTCACGCACGCCCAACAATCATCCCTCTTATACTAAGTTTCACATGGCCCATCGCTATTCATGGCCTAATTTAAAGATTAACAGCGTGTCACGGGCTAATTTTGAGTATTATGGTCACCGAAGCCTAAAGGTTGAGTATATGTCTTCAAAGCTACGGGTAAAGATCGTAAAACCCGTAGACAAGTAAAGGCACTAAGCTGGATCTCACGCCACACTCCGTCATCTCTGTAGTTCTACCACCAAATCATTTGTTCTGATATCAGTTGTTAGACTCTACAAATTTGGTAGATAATGATACTTTATCAAAAGCGTGACATAAAAGACAGAGCCATATGAGCGAGGGGGGATTATGTGTTTGGCTGGAAAAAAAATTCTTTCTGGAATGAAACAATCAAAGCTGAAAAGTCTATCCACTGTTTAGATGGCAGACAGAAAAGGGTTTTCTTTCATAGCCATCCTCCTTCAAGAAAGCCTGAATTATTGGAGCTAGTACACTCTGGTTTGTGTGGTCTTTTTAAAGTAAAGTCGAAAGGCGGTGCACTTTACTTTGTAACCGGGGGTGGAGCTAGAGCACGGCCTACGGGTTCGGCTGAACCCAGTAACTTTTGTCCAAATCATGTATTTGTCTTAAGAAATTCATCAAATATATACAATTTATTAATTTAGAATCCTGTAACTTCAAAATATTAGATTCTCAATCCCATAAACTTTAAATCCTTACTCCGCCTCTATTTGTAACCTTCATAGATGATCATTCTCGCAAACTCTGGATATATTCTTTGAGATCTAAAGATCAAGCACTTAGCGTGTTTAAGAAATTTCAGGCCTTAGCTGAGAGACAGATGGAAAAGAAATTAAAATATTCGCACTGACAATGATGGTGAATATTGTGGTCCCTTTGATAGCTATTGCAGAGAACAAGAAATTCGTCATCAGAAAACACCACCCAAGATGCCTCAATTGAATGGCTTGGCAGAGAGGATGAGCAAAACTCTAGTTGAGAGAGCCAGATGCTTGCTTTTAGAGGATAAACTTCCAAATATTTTTTGGGCGGAAACCCTTAACACTATTGCTTATATTATCAATTTGTCTCCTATTTTTGCTTTGAGTGGTGATATGCCAAATAGAATTTAGTGCGAAAGATGTTTCTTATGATCACTTGAGATTTTTGGGGGGTAAAGATCGTATGCATGTTCCTAAAGATGAGAGATCGAAGCTGGATGTCGAAACTAAGCAGTGCATTTTTATTGGTTATGGTCAAGATGAATTTGGGCATCATTTTTACGATCGATTTGATAATAAATTTATTAAAAGTCGTGATACAGTATTATTTGAAAACCAAACAATTGAAGATATCGACAAAGCTGAGAAGATAGATTCTCAGAGTAATAAGAGCTTAGTTGATATCGATCCAGTTCTTATTACTAAGGCACCTATTGTATATGAAGGAACCCAAGATAATAATGAAGATAATAATCAATATCAAAATGATCATCAGAGGGTTTAGATATTATGGATGCTCCAGTTGATGAAGTTGTGGTTGATTGATAATCAATTACTACCTAGGTAACTACTTTGAATGCTCCTAAAATCTCTCTTGGAAGATCTATAAGGGAGAAACAAAAATCCATGCATTATCCTGATGATGAGTATATACTTTTGACTGATTGAGAGTTATAAAGAAGCCATACAATATACTTACAAAGACCATCGAGTAGAAGCCATGGAAGATGATATGAAGTCACTCAATATAAGAATAGCACATAGGAGTTAGTAAAGTTGTTGAAATATAAGAGAGCTTTACCAAACGAATAGTTTTTAGAAAGAATTAGCAAGACCAACATACCTCTGCGTCTAGGTACAAGACAAGGTTAGTTGTTAAAAGTTTTGGCCAGGAAAAGGGAGTTGACTTTAATGAAATTTTCTCCCCTGTTATGAAGATGTCTTCTATTCATGTAGTTCTAGGTTTAGTTACAAGTCTAGATATAGCGGTTGAGCAGATGGATTTCAAGACAGATTTTCTTCATGGTGATTTAGATGAGAAGATTTATTGGAGCAGCCCGTGAGTTTTGTAGTTAAGGGAAAAGAAAAATATGTCCTCAAATTAGATAAGAGCATGTATGGCTTGAAACAAGCTCCAAGATAATGGTATTTAAAGTTTGAATTTTGTCATAGAAAAATAGGGATACAAAACTTTTTCAGATCACTTCTTTCAGAAGTTCTCTGATGATAATTTTGTTATCTTATTGCTTTATGTGGATGATATACTTATTGTTGGCAAGAATAAATACAGAATTACAATCTTTAAGAAGCAGTCGAGCAAATAATTTGGGATGAAGGACTTGGGACCAGCAAAACAAATCTTGAGCATTCAAATCCACAGGCATAGAGATAGAAAGGAGTTATGTTTATTTCAAAAATAATATATTATGAAGGTACTCAAGAGGTTCAACATGACAAATACAAAAGTAGCTAGTAATCCTCTTGCTAAATACTTTAAATTGAGTACTAGTCAGAGTTCATCTATTGATAAAGAAAAAAGGAGATGTCTCGTCTTCCTTACTCTTCTGTAGTTGATAGTTTGTTGTATGATATGGTTTGAATTAGACCATATATTGCAT